AGAGGTTGATTCAGAGGAACATTGGTGGTCTTGTAATGGTCGAAAGTTCTCATACGTTTTCAATGAAAGCAAAGGTATTTTTCCCATCTTTATCTGATTACACAAAGCTTATAAGGATTTCAAAAGGCGTTGAGAGTTAAATAAAACAGAAGTGATAGTAGATATGGAAAATGGTTAGCACTGTTCAGATAATTAGTGCTTCTCAAGCGAGATCGGGGGCTGTTATATTCTTTGTAATCTGGAAGGAAATGAAAAATAGAAACCTAAGGCAAACTGTTCATACCTAGGCTCGTTTCATAGTCCATTGTCTCCTCGGTGTGCCTTGATTTAGCTCCACGACCACTACTACCACCTCTATTCCTTCTGTTGAAAACAACAGCTTTTGGTCTAGTTGATTGATCCCTATTAAAGAAAATATTATTTTTTCAATTTTTTCTTTTCTCACCTGCTTATGTGTACTAATTCTTTATCCGTTCGGCTGAAGGAGGACGTACCCTTGGGTGATTGCTCTTCATCAGCTGGCAAACCGGAAGATATCAAAGGGAATGTTTCATAAACATCTCTTTGAGAGTGCAGAATTTGCTCTTGGCTATCACGGCTCCGATGCTTAAAAGTGCATGATTTGTTTTTAGAAAGCTTCGATTAACTAGGAATTCCAAGTGCTTCATTCGGCTATTTTAGCAGCCATTAGTGTTTTTTGAATACTCAAATATGGTTTAGAATATGAAACCTGATGAAGTTAAAGAAGTGAGTGAATAAGTTATCGCTTTTGTTCAAGTCTTTGTGAGAAATAATTGAGTTGTTCCCCGACTCTTTCGTTTCGCGATCATTTAATAGAGCTCAATTGTCTCACGCTCGGTGACAAGCTTTTCCAGAATATTAATAGAAACTCCGAGTTTAAAAAGAAAAATAGGTTTTTTGGATAGGAATTCGCCAAATGTTAACATTTCCAAAGACATTCAAAAAGTGGTTTGATTCATTAAGTCATCACGCTTGTAGTTTGACCTCTGGTTAGACTGAAATCCGGAAATCTGATTGATGTCGAGAACCTCGTTTAGCCTAGTACGAATGGCACCGAATAGAGACAACAAGACACTAAGGTCAACAACTCATCTTCAACATTCGCGAATAAGAAACAAAGTTTTAGGAAGTGAATAACGATTAAGATATCGAAAGAATGAACTTACAGCATGTGGAGTTTTCACTCTGCTTCTGCTTGTGAGTGTATGGGTGTTGCCTCTTTGATAAACTGTTACATGACATTGCCATACCCCAGCATCCTCAGCTACATTTACTGGACGTATTTCCATTGAAAAATCGCCAGTCAATTCATCATAATCAAAGAAATAACGCCCATTGTTCAACAAAACTCTTAGAACTTTTTTGCCTGAACATAGAATGTTTTAAATCATGATGAATGAGAGTCGCTTTCACCAGCAACGGTTCTTTTATTGAATGTAGTTAGCTTGTTGTAGATTCTCTTTTCTCCATTTTCAATTTTCAGCCAGATGGTGTCATTGAGTGTCCATGTAACTTCGATTCTAACCTAAAATAACAATGATTGTAACAGTTGTGGCAGGGACAATTAACAAACCTGGCTATTACTAGCATCAGCTACATGTGGACAATTCAAAGAGAAAGATTCATATTTATGTGATTTAGGGTTAGTAATTGTGAATGCTGCGGATTTGTAAGGCAGGGGTTTCGAATCTGAATGAAATGCATAGATAAGTAGTTATTGAGAATTGTTTTTTTGGGCAAGCAAGAAAGCTCAAAGTCCAGGTGGCTAATATCTTCATTTCACTAATCACTCCGCTAAATAATTGTTTGGGTTTTCTAGATTTCAACGCATAATATATGAAGTTTGTCTGCTTTTTTGGACAAAGCGTCTAGATGGGAATTCATCTTGTATTCTTCGATTGAAAAAATGGAAACCATATTTAGCTTCATCCATTCAATGCTTGATAGATGTTGAGCCAAAGAAAAATTTGATATAAGCTAATTATCCGTGAGAAAGTGATAAGAGGGATATTGTGGTCATCACTTAACATACTATTATGTCACTTTCTCGAAATATTACAATGAGATTTGACATATTCTGTCATTTGAAAGAGAAAAACTAATAAATAATGGGAGCAGATTGAAACATCCTAAATTATAAGCATTTTAGTTTATTTCATGTAAGTTATTTATATATATATTCTTTTGTAGTTTATGAATTGTTGTTCGTTCGCTACAGAGACTGACACTTTCTTCATTTCAATGAAACTGATCGGCCACACAGCGAAGAAAAAAAAAAGAAGCACCTCTTGAATGCCGCAAACGGTGCAAATGCCTGACATTTTCCTGATAGTTGGTCGGCTCCTCAACACTAAACTCCACTGGCTCAGAATTTTCACTATATCTGATTAATATGAGTGAAATGACAAGCATAAGAAGCTGAACAAAGAATAGAATGACTTTGAAAGATGTTCTCAACTCACTCTGATCATTCTCTATAGGGTATTGAGGAAGCTTGGCTGTGGTGAGTTTTACATAGCAGTTTCGGTGGAATGCAGTAGCTCTCGGAGTGAGAGTGTTTTTAAAACCAAACTTTCAATTTTCAAACTCAAACAATAAGTAATGTTCGAAATCAAAAGAAAACGCGAGAAATCAAATGAAGCTGAAGCTACAGGCTAGTGAACTTACGGCTCAATGGACTACGCTTCACTCCGGCAGCGCTTCTCTCGAGCCCCGCCTCTCAGGGTCCTTTTGCATCTGGTCTAACCGCAGCATGAAATCTGTTGTTTTTGGCATTTGTTCTGATATTGCAGAGGGCGTCAACGATTGATAGAAAGAATTATATTATCGTTTTACCAAAGGAAAAAAATAATTTCCTTATTTCGAACAAAAAGGACTGGATTATTATCCAATTGCTATTTTCGATGCTCCATTCATAAAAAAAAATCAGAATGAAGAGCGACTTGAACACTTTGGTCATTACATATTGCCATTTACATCTTGTTTATTTGCCAAATGCTAATCAGTTGTTATTAGAGAATTCATCCAGGAATGGATGTAGAGGATCTAATTTAGTTTGAAAAAAACTTATTCTACTCATATCTGACAAATGAACTTTTTCTTAAGTGATTTCATTGCATTCACTTAAACGTCTCAGAGGATTTCTTATCCATCATGAAACAAATCGCCAAACTGCCTCGCATTTTCTTTCTGACATTTCGTTCATTCCTAAACTAACATAGTTGCAACTCAACTGGGAAGGAGAGAACACAGTTCTCAAGGCTAAATGCGTTCTTTCAAGAGAGTAGCTGTCAGAATTTTAAATTAGTTTCCATAAAATTATGTGTGAAGTCGGCTTCCTAATCCGCATTTACAGTTTGTTGTTCTGAAACGTCTATACGCGAGAATTTTCATTTTCTCCCAGATGTTCCATGGGCAGAAACACAAAAATCCTCAATAAAAATTTATCGGCAGAATCAGCTTCCTTATTAGGGGCATGGAAGAAAGAAGTTACTCAATTTTTTTGTGGAGCTCTTCAAATAGATTTGCACTATGGATTGTGCTATGATGTTTCAAGTTTATCTTTTTCTTCTCAGTTTAAATAGTCGTCTGCTTAGAAGAAAAGCTAAATTCTATTTATGACTTGTATAAAAGAGTTTTTTCATAATTCAAAACTCCTATTTCGACAACTGAATGTGAGAAATAGCCGATGTCTTTCGAAGATCTCTAAGTAGTGATGAAGGGATTCCGTTGCGAAACAAAATAAAATTCCATTTATACATAGAAGTAAGTGAGATTTCAACGATATTATACATATAAAGCAAAACATAAACCAGTATAACAATATGATGAATGAAATGCACTCAGGCATTCAGGTAGCTTTGCTTTCCCTATTAACTTTCAACGTTCTTTGATATTTCATCAGCTGGGTGGAGGCACGTATTTCGTCTACCGACAGGAGAAATATCTGTTCCAGCAACAAGTCAGATACATCTCCTATCTTCTGAGTTCTATCACAGATTTTGTAAACTTCACTCGATGATTCTGGAGCTAGCAGTCTTAAAGTTAAATATATCACACGAACTGGATATAAAAATACTTAAGAACATCTTCGATTTTTTTCTGATGATTGAATTTCGAGATTGCATCCATCCAAAAACCATAGAGAAAGACAAAGTCCCTGATGCAAAAATGATAGTGCGTATGGATCACAGCAAACTAACTTATGAATGAAGTTGCCGCGGTCATCGTTTGACTCAATCAAGTGACCATTTAGAGTGAAGGAAGTACGCGGCTTGATGGAAACAGCATAATGTAATCCATAGTGCAGATCTAGCTGAAGATGTCCATGAAAAAACGATTCAAAATTTCATACAGTGTACTCACCTTCTCTAACTTTGCGCAATGTGGAGGAGCCGAACTGCGAATGGGTTTCGGAATAGAGGGATGGAAACTTGTTCTCTGAAACCCTTGATTTCGTAGTAATCTAGAAGCATGGACTAAAAAAATTCAAAATCATCATGAGAACCTTATATCAAACAATTTCTGGAAAAGAGCGGAGTGTCTCCGAACGGAATGACTGTAGAAATCCAGTTCTTTGGTAACTGAACACAGAAGATGGCTCAGATGGACAACATCCAGGAACGTGAGCAGCTCAACTGCTCCATAGCGATACATAGTTTGCTGATCAAACCCAGCATGATGCATGATAACGTTCTTCTTAAATTATGTAAGTTGAAAATAGACTTTTGATTTCAAAATATACTTTTAAAGATTCGATGGTAGCTGCTTGCTGACTGCTAATTGGTATTACAGATACCAATATTGGTGACTTGCGAAAACGACAACCTGACTCATCTCAAAAAAACTGTTACGAGCACAGTAGAAGAAAAAAATTTACCAAAATTTTCAGTAGGTAGGAATTGCAAAGAATTTTCTGAGGTACCCTGCGGAAAGAGCTGAGCAGGCAGCTTGAGCAACTTCTTTCTTCCAATCCCTAATAAGGAAGCTAAATCAGCTCGATAAGCCTTCACATTATGAGCATTTTTTTGTTGCTGCTCAGCGAACTTCTGGAAGAAAATGAAAATTCTCGCGTATAGACGTTTCAGAACAACAAACTGTAAATGCGGATTAGGAAGACGACTTCACACATAATTTTATGAAAACAAATTCGAAATTTGGACAGCCACATTGTTTGCATTTTCCATATCTACTATCACTTCTGTTTTATTTAACTCTTAACGCCTTTTGAAATCCTCATAAGCTTTGTGTAATTCAAATAAAGATGGGAAAAATACCTTTGCTTTCATTGAAAACGTATGAGAACTTTCGACCAT